CCGCCACAAGGGACAATGCCTGACCGCCACGTGGCAAACCGTGGACTCTACCGACGAGGGATAAGAGAGAAGAGGCGCGGCCAGAGAGAGAGAGAGAGAGAGAGAGAGAGAGAAAGAGAGAGAGAGAGAAGGAAGGAGGGAGAGAGGGAGGTTGGGTAAGAGACGGCTTGTCATGTAAGAAGGGATGAATGGAAGGTGATTGGTCAGTCTAATAAAAACTTTTCCGAACGTTCTGCGACTCCCCTGGGGATCGATAAGTCGATCAGCTAAGAAGCTCGTTGGATGTGGAAATCGGGACGTGAAAGGAGGAGGAGGAGGAGGAGGAGGAGAAAGGAGAAAGGAGAAAGGAGAGAGGAGGAAAAGAAGAAGATAGAGGAGGAGGAGGAGGAGGAGGAGGAGGAGGAGAAGAAGAAGAAGGGACAGACGTAATATCACCCTGCCGCACTCAATCAGCTAAGGTCAGTTTTCTGTCGAGCTTGTTTCGCAAGAGGGACAGGAGGACGGGGAGGAGGGGGAGAGAAGGAGAGGAGGAGGAGGAGGAGGAGGAGGAGGAGGAGGAGGAGAGGAGGAGGAAGGTATTGGAGGTGAAAGAAAGATTAAAAAAAAAAAACACGGATGGAGAAAAGTTTCAGCGAGCTGTGAACCCTTGTGATTGATTTGTGGATAGTGCTATCATGAGCTACTGTACCGCTCGTTCGTTTTTTTTTTTTTTTTTTTTGCGTGCTTTCAATGTAGGAAGAGGAGCGCGCCGAGCTCGGATCTCAAGTTGTTTGTCGTATGTGTTGCTGACGTGGCAATTGGATGGGAGGGAAAAGGCGCAGAAAGCGCCAAGCCTGATTGATGGATGGATGGATGGATGGATGGATGGATTTGGAAAGAGAAAAATGTAAGGATCACAGTCAAAAATGGCCTATGTTTTACGTCTATAGTAGATCGTAGTCGACACGAAGGGACCAGATACAATGGATGACGAGCAGGTAGCCGAGGAACAAAGAAAGGAGAAGGACAGGAGGAAGATAAGACGGTGCAAAAATCAATCAGACAAGGAATGGCGCTGCACTTGTCCAATTCATCCATCCATCCATCCATCCATCCATCAACCAATCAATCACTCAACGAATCAATCAATCAATCAGCGAATCAATCAATCAATCAACGAATCAATCAATCAATCAATCAATCAATCAATCAATCAATCTGTCGATCGATCAATCAAACGATCATTCGATCGCTCGATCAATCATTTAATCGCTCATATCAAATCAAATCCGATCGAGGCGGAGGAGGAGGAGAGGAGGGGGAGAAGGAGAGCAGGGAGGAGGAGCGGGAGTAGGAGTCCGAAAGCACGAGGAGAAAGAGAGGACGACGACGAGAAGTGGGAAGAGGAGAACACTGGGAGGAGAGGAGCAGAACGAAAGGAGGTGGAAAGGAGGAGGTGGTGGTACTGCTTCCTCTCAAACCACCGCAACAATCTTTGCTGACGATCAAAATAAATAAATAATCATGACGATCACGACAGCAAATCGACGGCTGATGCTAACCCCCCACTGGCTCCCTTGACATCGTCATCACCGACCCTACCTCCCCTCCGACGCCGTTTCGAGTTTTTTTTTTTGTTCCCCCTTTTGAGGGCACGCTCTCACACTGCGTACCCAATATCGTAGTTCCTTAAAAAACTGGGATGCCCAATTTGGGAAAAAAAATAGTGGCTCTGGACTTGTCACACACTGCTTCCCCATTTCCCAACAGACAAGTGGAAGCAGTGTGTGATTGGATTTTTGGGGGGGGGGTTGGGTTGGGTCCTCCTCTTTCTTCTTTGATTGCCCCAGTGACACGTGGCGAGATCGCATAGTCGCATTTGCTTCGTCTCACTGGAAATGGAAATGCAACAATATCTTCGTCTTCGACTTCGAATTCGAATTTTTTTTATTTTTTATTTTTTTACTTCAACTATTCTTTCTATTTCTATTTCTATTTCTATTTTCTATTTCTATTTCCATTTCCATTTCCATTTCCATTTCCGCAGGGGGTTGATTCCATTCCAAACAAGAGGAGGAGGGGGGGGGGGGGGGGGGGAAGGGGGGGGAATTTGCGGTAACCTGCCTCCCAAGGGGTTAGCGCAAATTCCTAACCAACCCCGGCATATTCCCCCCAACCCCCCCGCGGCCCCTCAGGCCGCTGACAAAAGGGGTCAGAAATAAGTAGTTTGGGGAAATGAGATCCTCTGATGTGACTATTATTTTTTTTGGGGATTTATTTTGGGGATTTGGGGGATTTGGGAGATTTGGGGGATTTGGGGGATTTGGGGGAGGGATTATGCGTGCGGATGTGGTACCGCAGTGTGAGCGTGCCCTGAGTTTGCTTAGAAGTGGGACGAGCACACA